CGATCTTTGTTTTTTGTCTCTCAATAAATTCAATTGATTGCTTGTGTAACGATAAAAATATTTTGCTCTGTTTTTGAAAGCTGTTATTGCCTTTAGAAATGAATACAATGATATTGCACATGCAACTTGGCCTTTTCGTTTACACATATATAGCTCGAAGACAAATAGCAGCAAAGTTCCCGTCCTGAATTTCGACTATGGCGGCCGCTGCGGGATCATTAATTAGCAAGCATTAACAGTCGGTCACTAACGATAGGCGCGCGCGTATTGGCATGATAAATGAATTTATACTCAGGGGACGTACGTAATGGCGGTCGTACTGTAATCGATAAACGTGTAGCACGATTATTTCACGTAATCACTGTTACATGACACAAATGAAGTATCTCTAAATAAAGTGAATTAATTAAAACACTTGAAACGCGCTGAAAAAAGTTAATACGTCGTGCATTGTAAATTTGACGTAGAATTTCGCTGAAACATTTTTTTTGTAATTTTTCTGTGAAACTTTGTATTGTTTTAAATAATAAAATAAATAAAAAATGTCAAAATTTGCGAGAACGTTCAAATGCGCGAATTCCTCTGCAACTTCTTGACGCGTTCCAAAGCAGCGTAACGTAAACTTGTGATCAACAAGTTAGGTTAAATGACTTAATCTTAAAGCACTGACATCCGACACGGATCCACGTCGAGTGCGTACACCCTTATGCCTTTCTTCGCACCCTCCTGGAATTCGTAGCTGTCGTTTCGAATCTCGTCGAGAAGTCTCGAAGGGACTACCGTCAATTAATCGTGCCTGGCCAATCTCGAAGGGACGGATAAGGCGCGAGGAGAAAGGACGCGAAGAGGCGCCAGAAACCTAATCGAGTTCGGTGTGGACCACCTTATCCCAGATCGCACACCAATACAGACACTTCCGATATTACGTCCAATATCTCGTGAATCCAATTTGTCGGCTTGTTTGCTACCGTAGAGTTGCCATCGAAATATTTTTGGCTGAAAGCCTAACGAACTCCGATAATTGTTAAATCCGCATTCGGCGACGTTCCTAATCGGTTCAAAGTAGGTTGCGTGAATTACAGGTCAGAATAAAACTGTGTGATTTGGTTTTCATGAAAGACTGGACAATTTTCAGATCACGTGTTTGTGAGATTGCATGTTATTAATTTTATCCGTATATATTATGCTAAGCTCTCGGAAGTACGTGAGAACGGTGCATTTATCTCAATACAAAAAAAACTTTTCTTGTAAAATATATATTTAGAGATATATGTTGTTTTTAGGTTTAGTTTGTCACGATTCGTTGAAGTCCTCGGAAAATTCGTTGATGTCTCCGAAAGAATAATATTATTCACTGATTGGAATCATCGATCAATTCATCTAAGACGACGGTATCCAAGTGCGGAGAGAAAGTACAGTACTCTATTTATTCTTATTAAGTATTCTTTTCTTTAAAGGATCGGAATATGCAAGTCTCGCACAAAAATGTTTAGAAAATCTTAAAAATATAAAATATTTTTGTCACTGTCACGGAGAAAACAAAGAAGCAAATCGATATTTGCATTTTAAAAGCGCGCACATTGACGCGTCAACTTTAATCTAGGACAACCTTGTGATCTAGGACACGTAAAGATCTGAGTAGGCGATTATATACACTCTCGAGAGGGAGTAGTAAGAGTTATACGCGAGAACTCTCTTACGTAAGTCTCAAAAAAAAATTAATATCGCCACGACTCGTATAAGCAGATTACGCTTAACGTTTATGGGTTGACATAATTGTGTTTTGGGGTTTATTGACACGAGGAAACAAAAACGCGCGGCATTATGTACTCACACAGCTTGTGCAAGCACGAATACTTCGTACATGTTTCGTTTGATTAATCGATACAGCGGGGAAACGGTAACGTGTTATCGATGCAACGTACTCATTACGAGGGCCGCGATCGATATCTGCGGAACGAGCGGCCGCGGGCCGGTCGTTACCAGGAAATACCCGGTACAACCGAGAGGGAGAGACCGACACCCCCGAAGCATCCCTCACTTGTCCCTAGCCCTATGGCGCGCCCTACCCTCTCTGCCGCCCCTGTGCGCCCTAATATAAATATTATTACACTTTGATGGGGTTAGGGTGACACTGGGACTCCGCAGACATCCCATGAATGCCCCCTTTCCCCGTTCTTTTATTTCCCTGCTCGTTGTTGTCACTCCTTTCGCTCGCTTTTCCGCGCTCGCTTTTTCATTAGACCCGAATTCCGCGCGGCGCGTGCCAATGTTCTTAAAGGCTTAAGTCCGCTCCTTTACCTACTGGCTTGTGTCAACCAATCCTTTGCATCCCGCGTATGATACCCGATATAAGTCCTCTTGATATCCTTCTCCGCATATCGTGAGCGAAATTTCAAAGGGACCAGACGTGAATCATATTTATATCGTTATCGTCGAAAATGGATTTACGACACGAATTTTTTTATATACGATTGAAGTAAATTTTCTCAGCTTGCGAAACAACTTCTAAAAATTTACTTTGTGTACATGTATATGTATAAATATTTATACATATACACACACACACACACACACAAGGATGTAAAAAATATAACGTAAAGTACAACACGTGATATTGTTCGGTAACAATGACATCTTTAATAACCGGTTCAACAACATATCATTACAATATTATATAGGATTTCAATTACAGAATTTCGTATTACTTTGGTTGTTCATCAATTAATTATACATACATGTGTCCGCATGTATAGAGTGTATATATATATATTCATTCTGTATTTTTGTATATGTATGTATGTATGTGTGTACGTGTAAATTTGTGTGTGTGTGTATAAACGCGCAAAGTGCGGATGTATTGCAATTAAGTTACGCTACGTTTACGAATAATCTCGAGAGATGCGCGATTCTTCGACTCTTTTCTTAAACGCGCTCGGATAATATACATTATGCACGGATAATTAGATAAATATAGTTGTCCAATGTGTCTGACTATTTTTCTTCTCTTTTATGATATGTGTATTTGTATATTTATATTGCGCGTCTTCGTTTCTTCTCGCAACACTTAGGAAGTTAACTCGGTTTTACAAGATGAGAAAAATATCGTTGAGAAACTAGCGCCTGTGTATGTTTGCACTCTAAACGTCGTCTTCGGCAGTGCTGAGCAAGATCTCATTATTGGCTTAAAACATGTAAACTTTTAGGAAAGTATTTAAATTGTCATTTTTTAAGAAATCAGAAAACAATTTGTCTGCTCTCTTATCTATATTATAAATCTTATCTACGTTATATATATATATATTGTATATATATGGGTGTAATATTCAAAGAAAACATGTATTTTTTAATCTATCAAAATACTAAAATTTCTTTTTGTTTGTTTCGAACTTCATGTGTGTATTCTACATCTTTAAATGTTAAAAAAAAATGCTTTTGCTCAGCACTGATCTCTATCAGTGACGCAGAGAGAAGAAAACGGATTTTTTTACTCACGTACCTCGCTTTCACAACACTTGCGAACGATATAATACAACTAGGCAAGATATTATCAGATATCACAGAACTGCTGTCACTTTATCAAAATACTGTGGAATATTAATCCTTCAAATTAATATTTTTACTATAGGAAAAATGTCAAGTTTTTTTTCACGTAAATTTGATTTTAAAGAGATAAAAAAAATCATATGTTAATAAAACAATCTTCATTCTTATTTTATTGTCAACAAATTTTATTTTAACAGAAGTTTAATTTGGAGCTGTTTTTGTCACATTAAAAATATCGATCAAGTAATTTGAAAAGAACTGTAACAGTAGTTCTCGGATTTCCAATATGCGAAGGAAAAAGTTTTTCCTTTTTTTTTTTACGCGCACGCATTAATACATATATTTATAAAAGACAGAAGAAGCTACGAATAATTTCTTTATGTACGTGTAATATGTGTATGTATAACCGTAGTGCAATCGATGCAACGTGTCTTACCGATAATTATGTGACGTACGTCAGTTCGATTTTGCTGGTCTTATCACGAAGAGAAAATGCGAAGAATAATATATAGTTGCACGTTTTAAATTAAGTGAAATAAAATGAAGAATTTTTAAAGAAAAACATACATATAATAAGAAAACATATTTTTAATTAAAGTATGACATTTATTTCAGAACCATTTCTCTATCATATAAATTCTACAATAAATTATTATAGAATATTTTAATCTGTATTCGGCTTTATATATACCAGCGAAATCATGACGATAATTATCGGTGAGCCGTACGCTACCGAGTTTACGATAAAACTCTTAACATTAGAGGCCAGCTCGTAGAAACAAAACACCATCGCGGAGATTTAAAAAAAAAAAAAAAAAAAAAACACGTTCTTCTCGTCTCCTCAACAGAAATGCATAATATAACTATGTTTATATAGGTACATATGTATAGCGGTCTAGTAGAGAGTGTGTCTACTTTTACGTTAGGTCGGGTTATACACTTGCTTTGGATCTTTTTACGGGAGTGCTTTAATGATATATTTGTTCGTCGACTACGAGTCCGCGACGATGGAGGATAAAAACTTGCGAAGTTCAGGCACTGTTAACTCAAAGCACTCGCGAATCGATTCTCGTGGATTTTCGTGCGACGACACGGCAAGCGATCCACGAAGATTCGATGCGAGCGAAGCGGAGTCCTCGACAATTCCTCGAGGATTCCTTCCTTTCGCGCCTTTCACGACAGTCAGTCGTCGTGTCAACGTGGTACAATTGCACTAGCTAAGTGTTAATGCAGTTTTATTTGCTTCTCGCGATGTCTCTTAGTTATTGACAAGTAGGTACGAATGTGTGCTGTGCACTCGGTCGTAATGCTGAGCATTCTCTAGCGACGAAAGAGCTTAAGACAAATTTATTACTTACAAAAATAATTTTCTCGATGTTGTTTTAGAATTAAAATTTGTTTTAATTGCGGCATATATGTATATTGGTATAATATAAAAAGTAATTGAAAAAATAATATTGGAAATGTAAAATAATTATAATTCGTGTAATAAACTAAGGTGTAATTATATCATATATACGGTTCACAAAATAAATAAAACAAAAAATATAAATAATCTTAAAGTTTAAAATTGAAGCGATGCAACAAATGTCCTCTCGACAGCCACTGCACAACTTTGCGTCCGAGTCACTTCGACACATGATAAAATTTGATATATTTACATACATTTATGTAGAAATGCACCTCTAAATATCGCGTGATTTCCCGCATGAATTAAAATTGATAAAATTCTAATAAAATGTCTCTACAATTAAAAAAGTAATCTCATAAAAATACAGATATGTTTACTTTTCAACATGCATACTTTCGACATACTTTGGTACTGCTCCATTATTGCAGCAAAGTACTCGATTAATTAATGAATTCAATAGAACGTGAAAAAAAAAAAAAAAAAAAAAAAAAATCTTGTAGATAAAATATAAACGTTCAGATTACAATTGAATTTAACAACTTATTTAACAAAATAGGAGTCGATTTCTTCAGAATTCTCTAACAACGATGGGAATATCTATTTCATATACAATACATATATAAGCGTATATATCAGTATGAATAACTATAATATTACGAAAGTCATCGTCTCGTATTTTGTTAGAATAATAAAAACTTTAGAGATCTTAAAAATAAGTAAAAATTGATAGAATTTGAAACAATGTAAAATATTTAAATTTTATTTAAATTCATAAATAATTCATCTTTAATAGACACATCTCTGCATAAAAATATCATTGTAATAATAAAGCGTGTATAACAAATAACAGTTTTTACTTTAAAGTTTTACGTGTATTTAAATGATTGATTTTAATAACCAAAACCAATAATTTTTGTAATTAAAAATTTATCAATTTGCACGATAAAATATTTATTCATATTTATATAAGCGTGAATAAACTTGTTTTGTTAATCAGAGTAGACGCAAGTACTTTGCCTATACAGAACAACTCGTGGAGATAATTTTCCATAACTTCCATCACACATTCTATACAATCACCTACTTAACTTAAAACCTTAATTCTAAATATTTAAAATCTTTTTAGATTTCTTAATTAATCGCATTAATTAATGGATATGTACTATTATTCAATGTTTCAGCAATTCAGAACGGTTTTCAACGAAAACAATAAAAACTTAAAAGTTGCTCAGCGGCTGTGAGCAAAGGTCCTTGCCGATGAGAAGCTCCCGTCGCAGCCGTAAATCCTTCTTCTTTCTTCTCAATTTCTTTACACTTCATGCAACAAGACGACTTAAATTAAAGACGTCATTTTTCCCTCTCTAGCACCAACACGCACATCTCTCTCTTTCGTCTCACTCAGTTTTATTTCGATGTTATAATTACTTGATTTCCTCGCGGTCTTCATTTCTTATGACGACGGCCATTTTCCTTAAGTTTCTTGTTCATCCGTTTGCATTTATCAGTCGTCAATCTTTTATCATTTATCAGTCTTACGTTCTAAAGTTTATGTATGTTTTGTCAGCAAAGTTTCTATTTCATCTCCCTCTTTCTTATTTTTCCTTATGACAAGTTTATACACGAAAGCAGAATTCGTCAGGATTCATTGTTCGCGGATTTTTCTCGGAAATCGCTGCCTTCCTAAGTCTGATACTTTTCTTGTAATCCGCGAATAAAATATATCAACGAAGTCGAATACGTTTGAGATCTAGTTCGAGTGTTGGCGCAATCGGCGATCTCCCCAGGTTGACAAACGTGTCCCGATCGTCTCTCCTGGAAATCTCGCTGAGACGCCACGTCTTACGCACCGATTTTTCGCTGATTAATTGGAAGCCTGTCTCGAAGACTCTCAAATACACTCTCTCCAGCAAAAGGCTAGCTTTGCCTTCAGATCGTTGGCCGTAACCGCTGAACACCTTCATTGACACTTTAGTACATTCCCTGCCGGAAGGGGTTGCTATCCCCAGCTGGTCGCTGATCCACATCTGGCCTTCTAAAGGGGTTTACGTCAACCTGAGGTCCTCCTCTCTGTTCCTGCTCGCTAGGTGCCGCGTAATTTCTTTGCTGACTGTAATCGGTCGCCTGACTGTAACCAGCGGACTGATTATAGACCGGCGGTTGATCGTGAGCGGGCTGATTGTAACCACCGATCGTGTTCTGCATGCCGTAACCGCCACCGTAATGCTGATCGTAACCGCCTTGCGTCGCTTGATAACTCTGATCAACATAACCTTGGTCAATATTTGTCTCCATGCGCGTTTGGTTCAAGTGATTACCAATCTCGCCAGTAATTGGTCGCTGTTCCTGCAACACGTACGTCTGATACTCCTTGTCCGGCGGATCTTGCATCAACACATTCGCCTCGTCCTGGAACGGCTTGAAGTCGTAGATGTGACGCAGATAGTAGAGCACCGGGGCGTAGAGCAAATTCGAGAAAGCGATGCCGATATTGAGGGCGGTAAAACCGATCGCCTCGACGACACCGCCGGCGATGATCGGCCCTACTGCGTACGCCACGCTGTACGAAATGTCAGCGATCGCGTAAATGCTGCCGTACACCGACACGTACCTGACGTCCACTAGGTAACCAAGAGTAGGTAGTAGCGCGGTGTCGATGAGCGCGATTCCGAAGCAAATACCGCACAGCGGAATCATCAATACTTTGTACGAACTTGAGAACGGTATGATAAAGCAACAAAGACCTTCGAGTGCCAAGCCACCGGCTGCCATTAACCACTGATACTGCGGATATCGCTTAGCCATCTTTACGGTAATCATGACGCCGAGTACGTGCGGGAAAAACGCCGGTAGCCAGATCATACCGATCTTCCAGTTGTCGTGCGTCATTGTATCTTCCATCCACAACGATATCGTCGGTTCGAGGAATGCCAGTGCTACGTTAGACATCATCAGAGCGCCTGCGCACACGGCAATGTACGGATCCATCAGCAGCCGCCAGATCGGTATCGTCGACTTGGGCTCATTATGGCGGTCCTGCAATTGCTCCTTCACCGGCTTCATTACCAGCAGCAACATGAAGCCGTCTGCTAAGCTGACAAACGCTAATATCAGGAACGGCACTTCCTTGCCGGCGAACTGATAAAGCGCGCCGCCGAATGGCGGTGCTACGAGGCAGCCGAAGCTGATAAACGCTAGCGCGATGCCGAGCGCCTTCGAACGTTCCGCTTCTTCCGTGAAACGATCGGCGATCATGGCGAGGCCAGCGGTGTCGGCAAACGCGGACCCAACGCCCTGAAGACTCCTGGCGAAGAATAGCACACCGTAGCTCTTGCCGCACGCGAACACGCTGGTCGACAAGAACATAATACTGAGCCCGATCATCATCGGAATGTCGTAACCGATTCGATCAATGAGCGCGCCCGAAAATGGATTTACCATCAGCTGTACGATCGCTTTGGACGCGAATAACACTCCCGTGGCGGAATCCTGGCCGTGATGGCCCGCCGGCGTGGTGTCGTTGTCCGACTCTTCAACCGATCCAAACGAGCCGATGTACTTAAGATAATCAGGTATAATCGGTACTATCACCATGTACAGCATGTTGTCTAGCAGCAGCGCGATACAGACGATGACAAGAATCAGCTTGCGCTGAGATTTGGGCTCCTGCAGCTTCGTCCAGATAATCTCCTTGAGTTCGCCGAACTCCATGTTGAGTATCGGTATCGTCGTCATGATGATAGCGGGATGGTGGTTTCTAGGTGGCCGCTCGCGAAACTACCAGCGTCTTCCGGGTATTCGGTGTGTGCGAGTCTTAGTGCGAGGAACTAACCGCGGTCACCCAGTCGTGCGACCTCGGAAAGCAAGCGTGACGAGGAGGAGATCGTCGCGATTGGGGCGGCGCGCATCAGGCCGGGCCGGGGGTAACCTACAACAGATCACCGAGTTGGCAGACGATTAGCTCGCGGAACAAACTGATCGCGCGCGTTCGCGCTGCACGCTCAACGCAGCTTCCGTACGCTTTACCGACATCGGGACATCGCGCGGTCGATCGCGAACGAGAGCGAGTCGGAGAAGCGACTCGGGACTGGGAAGAGAGTTACTTGAAGAAGATAAAGATAGGGGAGCCCTGACCCGGCCTGATCAGCGCGAAACCACAACGTTCACTCAACCACAAAGTCTAGCACCCAATCTCGACCCAACCTCTCGTGCCCCGCGACCATGAAGACGCTTCCGCCTTGCGTACGGCAGGAAAAAAATGTTGCGAAAACGCACACCCGCTCTATTTAATGTGATGTTTCTCTCTGCTGTGGGTTGCTTCCCCGCGCGTGTGTGTGAAAGAGAACACGACACCGGATGGAGGCTCCCCCACGATAAGGCGCGCCGCGCGTGTAAGATCGACTCGAATATACCTGAGCCTGCAGTGTATCGCGTATCGTGTTACTATGGTGGAGATAAAAACAGTGCGGAAAAGCGTCGGGAAAACAAGGGGCGAGGGTCGACGCAAACTAGACTCTATCAGTGGGGTCGCTAATTACTTCGTGTTGCTGCTGCGAGAGCATCTCGATGTTAATAGCAATATCGTCGTCTGGTTGTTTGTCGTTTTGTTGAAATACTGAACAATTTTACGCGAAATCAGTAGTAAATAATGCAGCAAAGTCTTTTCTTCCTCAAATAACTGAGAGAGATGAGGAAAAACTTATGTATATTAAATTTACTTTCTTTACACACGGGAATAAAAGGAACTTTGAAAATCGAGTAAACTATTTACATCTAAGAAACTGAAGCTTATCTCGCGAAATAACAAAAACCATTAGTGAGTGCAATCAACATAAATTGCAATTTTACGACAAGCTAAGAGTAGCAATTTGTGAATAAAAAAATTTATTATATCAAAACAAAAAAATACTTACTCAACTTCATTATTTATTTATTTTTTTTTTATTATTCTAAGTTTTCAAAGTTTCGCACGTTGTCATCTCAGTTACATAATCGCGCATCACTGTACCTATATGTATTGTACACGGACGCTTCAGTCGCGATTTTGGGAGACCGATTCGAAATAATGGTGCATAATGTAGTTTTCTTTTTCGCGTGTTTGTGAAATGACGCTCGTCGGTTATCATTGTCATCGCCATGACTCTTTAATGATGCGACGTAATCGATAGTCGAGACGGATTAGACGTTGAGGAATAGGGACGCAAGCCTCCACAGAGAACTGAGGACGCGACAATCGCGCGTGGGGAAAACAAAATTACACCGGACTCACCGGAGTTGCTGACGAACTTCTGCTTGAGGGAAGTGGCGAGGCGTTGGGGGCCCGCCAAGGTCGGAAGACCGGCGAGCAAACCGCTCAAAGTCGAAGCGACGTCCGATCCGTCTTCGTCCTTCGAGTCGTTTACCGACTCCTTGGCTCCCCGCGTCCCCGGGCCCTCCACCTTTTCAGCCGAGTATCACAATCTGCAACAATTTATGTATTTTCCAATCGGTTAGAACATTTCGACGATGGTGTATATTATTTTTAATTTGATTTACCACATTTCAATGAAGAGGGAAAAAAATTATAGTTCATAAAACAACACGGTCCAGTGAGATGCTATATTTAAAATGCTCTTTTTACTATAAATATCTAGCTATAACAAAAGTATTGATTAAAGTAGAGTTAAGCGACTTGACAATAGAGTTTTATATATGTACTATGGTAATTCATCCATTTCACGATGAAACTGATAAATCGCCGGAGTGAATAAGAGTCCATCGACCTTCAAGTTAAGATTCTTTATCATCATCATATTTTTAACTCACACAATCATGCGTAAAACTATTGCGCAAAGTTTGCATTTTGCATGTCATATTATTTCGCAGAAATATGTACATATATATATATATATATATATATATATATATATATATATATATATATATATATACATATATAAATGTATATGTATATACATATGCGGTCGACACAATTTTTGCGAACTTTCTATTATCTTATGTACGCGTTACCAATGGGCAAAGTTAAATTTAGAGTTTCTTCGTCTATCTATAACATCCGAAGTACCTATACCGTGTGCATTTGAGGAAGAGAACCGAACATTACATGCACGTGCGTAACTTCCCAAGGTAATTTTTACTCTCCCTTGCCACGTCGCAATATAGTTATTTGACAGCCACGTGTTATTTTGTGCGCTGCTGTTTGCCGAGGGTGCGGCGATGTCTCTTATTATCTGCGACGTTCTTGCAATCGCAACTTTCAACAAACTCTAGACATTTCATTTAGATGGACCATGTTGTGGAACATTACGACAAAAATGCTGCTCCGTCGTAGAATATGAGTTTACGCAAAGTTTGCCAGAATGGAATAAATTCATATTAAAAAAGTGATATGTGAATTTGTGCGCAAACACGTGTATTAACAACTTGCATTCGTCTATATATGTTCATTGAAGCAAACCAGGCCAGAAAAAGCGTGAACATAAATTTCAAGAGAGAACGTTTTATTATGTAACTTCATCGAAAATGTACGTAGCTAACATCTCAACAAGTTGATCAAAGTCAGAAATAAATTTTAACATAAACACAGATAAAAAGAGAAAGCAATTGAACTGAAAATATGTGACTTTATGACGTAATGTAATTATCATTGCTCCGACATCGTTTCAGGAGTATATAGACAACGTTTAACATTCAACGATCGTCGAACATCTTACTGGAAGAAAACGCAAGAGTGATAATGTACAAGCATCTGGTTTGAACAGTCACGAAAATTTATCAAATTTCCTACGAAACAACTTCCTCCCTTCTCTCAAGTCACGTACCCCGCAAACAATATCCACCGCGCGAACGCACACGCATTGTTCCCGGTTATGTAAGAAAACGAAGAAAACGCAAATAAGGAGAGCAGAGCGAGAGGATGAAGATGAACGGGAGAGACAGAAGCAGAGGACGTAGAGAACGAGATGAACCGAGGGATACTCACTAAAACCGAAGGGCTCCCAGTGGCAGGGGTGTCTCGGCGTGTCTCTCCGTCGGGGTGGCTTTGGAACGTCTGCCCTCGGAGTCCTCCCCGCCACCGGGTCGCCACGGCGCCCTCTCTTGCCGTCGGTGACGACAACGGCGGTGGCGGCGGTTTCTCTGTGCGAAGGCGCGGCAGGGCGCAGCCGCGGCCGCCAGGACCTAGGGATTGGCGGCGGCGAGGCCGTGCGTCAGCCCCCAAACCCTCCACCAGCGGCTGTATACGCGGCCGGCATCCTCCGGGGGTGGCAGTGGTGATGGCGAGGGTGAGACAGGCGCAGGGGCAGGCAGGGAGAGGGCGCCGAGACCAGGTATAACGACAACGGTCGATGCTGCGCGGTATTTCTGGCGTCAGGTCGATATCGGCCTCACCTGTGTGTGAGGCGACACTGTAGACTGCTTGCCGAAGGGGTTCTCTCGAGCTTGCCGCCCGCACGCCTCCCCCGGAAGAGCCAGTGCTCTTCAATCGGCGGATCACATCCCTCGCGAGAAACGAGACGTGACCTGGTCGCGTGTGAAGATGAGACCAGGTTGCGAGACCCTGCCGAGGGTGGCTCGGCCGTGAGTATAGCGCGTTCAGTTTTCCAGAAGATATTGCCGCTGTGTATGTGTGTGTGTGTGTGTGTGTGTTTTCTTTTCTATCTTTTCGGTTTGCTGGAATCTGACAGAAGATAATGATTGTTTACTATTACTTGACGTGGTCAATTTGCCGCGTTCTAACGCGTTTTATTATGACGAACGTCGCTAGGCTAGGATAATGGCTGCGGACAGAATTTCGGCATTGATTGTTTCAGTTGAGGTTCGCTCGTTGTTCGTCATACATGAACAACCAATTTTCTAAGCTAATTTTTGTTTGTTTTACAACGTGACAAATTATATAATTGTAAATTACTCAATTTCTACATAAACTGATTACTTTAATCATCTCTCTCTCTCTTTTTCTTTTACACACAGGTAAGGGCAAAGGTTAATTCAATATTGGTCGAGAAGAAACAAGAACGCTGTACATGCGCATTTTCAAACTACTGAAAACTGCACGTCTCGCTTGATCACTTATTTACGTAAAAACATTGTTAAAAAAATCTTTCTAACAACTTCCAACCTGAGTGCACGATAGCTTGTTCTTTTCTGCGTGCGATGCGCGTCTATGAAGTTTTCTATATTGAACATGAAACTTCTAACTTTAAAGCTGAAAAGAATATCCACGGAGAATTTCTATGAAGCAAACAACAGCTTCCATTATTATTAGTTAACATTCATTCAACGTGAAAACTGACTCCTCTATTTTTATCAGAATCTCGAAAATCAACTCTAGATATACGATTCAAAAAAGTAGGTGTAAAATCTATAAACGTTGCTACTAAGTTTTTATTTTATTCTTTATATTAATTATTTATTGCACAAGAGAAATAATTTATAATATAATTTGTGTAAATTGAAAAAGGTATAATGTGTGAGATTATATAAATAATGAAATTGTAAATTTTCAACACAATGTCGTCAATATTTTAGTGGGAAAATTTATAGAGAGGCTTGTACGCAGTGTATATAGGTGTGGTTGTGAAAATTTGTTGGGGTTAATGTCATTGCTACCTTTGTAGCTATGACGTCCCTTGCATTACATGTCAAGCGTCGTTGCCTGAACGATCGAATGTTACATTAAAGCTGTTTCTGACGTTGGACCGGAACAACATGTCTTGTATAAAGTTACCCGACGACATTAGCCTGGCGCGGCTATGAGCGACAGGATAATTGGTAGGTAAGTGAATGAATAATTGAACGAATTCCTGCTTTTACATTTTCTTTGTCAGCTATAGCAATATATAATATAATACGATGTAATAGTATAAAATTCTTATTTTTCTTGCGGTAGAAAAGATAATAAATATTAAATTTCCATGAATTTTTTTTCTAAAGAACTAATCGATTTAAACGTGTATCTACCAAGTTTGTAAGGAAGAAGATTGTGGATCGATTCGATTTCCTTCAATTTATATGATTTTTCTTATTATTTTTTACGTTACTCTAATTTTTTATTGTGTTACATGTGTTAATCGTTAATCGTGTTAATTGTTACATGTGCTAATTACTGGACTTGAGTGTGTCTTTTTGTACGAGTCCGAAAAGAAATATCGATCAGTGGCAATCCAGCTGTTCACTCAGCAATATACAACGTTTACACATATGTGCGTGCATGTATGTATGTCCTGTCGAGCGTAGCGTCTACAAAAACTGAACTTACTCGGGTTTGTACTTGTAAACCGCGCGTAAAGGATCTGTCACGTTTTCCCATTACCACCGACTTTTGCACGAGAGCGACTTCTATTTTGCGACTGCTGTGCCCGTCGTTGCCAGAAGGATAGACGGACGAGCTGGAATAAACGATCTCCAGCTGATCGTCCCATTAATGGTCTCTGAAAACGTGAAAGGGAACACACGCGCGTTCATTTGACAGATTCACTTTTCCAAATTGGAACGACTTGGGATTGGCGGTCACGACTCGCGACTTCGCTTCGGCGGCGTGAGAAAGAACAGGATTCGATCGCGTTCTGTGGTAGGATGTTATTTACAAAAATATGTATGTAACTGACACTTCGGATAGAGTATACAAGCAGCGACGGTTATTGAGCAGATATTGAAGTATTTGTAAGTTTTTTTAAGTAGAAAATATATATAAAAGAGTTTTTTCATCAATTATTACAGTTTCATAATGTCGGAATATTCTCTCGCATTATCTAAGTCATTATTGTTCTTTTAATAAGCGACTATTTGGGAAGTTCGAAACGGCGTGTTGTAAGCAAGCTTCCTGGCAACCACGTCTTATATACGGCGATGCGTAATTACGCGGCGTGTACGTGAACGCGTGACGAGTCACGTCCAAAGTTGCGTAAACGCATGACGATATATACATGAGGAGAAAGAACGGATAAAAAAAAAAAAGGCGGTAGAGTACAAACAAGCGCATCAATTCGCATTACAAAAATATTACAGTAGAAGTGAAAGTACAAAAACTTACAAAACAATTTCTTTTAAACAGAGACAGACACGTAAGAATATTCGAGAATGTATAGAGATACACTGAACCATATTCGAACGCATTTCCCTGGTAAATAAAGCTCTGCAAAATCCTCTCTGGAGTCCCGCCTCTCTTGGACGCGTTCATCCATAATTACGAAATGCGAGTACGTGCGTACGGACCGCGGCACGTTCCAGGCCGCGGAACTTGACAGAACAACGAATGAAAGGAGAAAAAAAGTGATAAAAGAAAAAAGAGAGAAGAAAGTCTCTGCGCGGGAGCGAAGAAAATAGGAAAGAGTCGACGACTGGAATATCAAGCGAACGACCCGTGTAATTCGGTTCCGTACGATCGAGTTCACAGACATTCGCGATCCCGACCGGGCGCCAAATCTCTCGCAAAATCTCGTTAGAGACAATGGAGTCGCAGGAAATAAAATCCTCCCGGATTTCAGTAACCGCTTGTACACCGACATAACGGCCGGTATTGTGCAAGCGATGTATCTCCGAATGTTCGCGGTTTATAACGCCGCGTTGCGCTATACATGCGATATACATACATTCAAACGAAACACCGCGCATTAGCACATTCGGAAGAAAATACAAAGGCAAACTAAAATATCATTACAAATTATTTAAAAACGGACTTTTATCAGTCTAACCACAAAAAAAGATCACGTTTAATACTACTAATTATTATTTTTTATTTGTGCAGCGAATACTTTGTCACAGTAGCGCGTAAAGGATGTCTGCGTTGCACCTTCCCTTAGTAACAGATCCGAGATTAGACAACCACTTTAATGCGGTCGAACGCCGAGCTGTTCACGAGCTGGTTAAAAATGGGTTGCGGAACTTTGACGTTGCGGAACTCCGGCTGCCGCACGTCGCGAAGACTTGGTTGCAACTTGTGCGAGCGCACGAAGTGTCATTAGCATAGAAGATGGTGGCGATGCGGACAGCTTGCAAGCACACGAGGAGATCGATGCACGTGCTCGTGCACTCGTCAAACCGTGCAACGTTAATGTCGCAAAGTGTTTGCTCGTAATGCTATTTGTTTGCGACACGCGACAGCTAACACCTGCTATGAGACAAAAGATGAGACGACACCGAAACTCAAAAAAACGAGGAGACAACTTTTCCAGAAAATTTTACTTGAAAAAATTGTTAAGCAAATTTCTTCAAACAATTATTTTGTAAATTTATAATATTAATTTGATTCTAATTATTTTTTAATTAAATACGTGACAAAATTTTATTTAAATAAAATATCTATACTTTTATTTAAGAAATTTATTGAATCTTATATATGTTACAAAAAAAAAATAGATAAAAATTGATAAAAGTTCGATACTTCCGATAGATGGTAAATGAAAATTGTTGTGAATAAGAGAGTTGATTCCTTTTCTTGCAACGGGAGTATCGAAATATAACTACGTGAGGATGAAACAGCAGAGTAACCGAGTCAGCTCTGCAGCAACGCACATCTGATGTGTACGCAAACACTTATGGGAATCTAGATGAGGTAAGACTCGCGTAAGAGACGGACGGAGCCAGGTGGGCGCAACAGAAGAATATAAATCGCGCAATAGCTTCGGGCTCGTCCGCGTTCGCTCACGGTTGCGTTTCTCCTAAACGCAATTAAAAGCTAGAACTCACGTTGCTTTGTGTATGGAAAAGAAAGAGGGCAAGTACTCGGAGTGGAGGAAAAAAACAGCACGGTCAGCCGCACTGATTGTGTGTGGGAACAAACATAGAACATGAAAGGCTAATAACGTTCGTCCTCTTTTAACGAAAACTGCGTGTCCCTGTCGTTGCTTCTTTGCTCACGTCATATTTTTCGCCCTTTCCCTAAAAATCCATTTTTTATCTCCCTTTTGTGTCTCTTACCTTCTCTTTTGAAATTATTTTATTGTTCTGTCATTTATTTTATTATCGCTTTTGATTAAAAATTTCATATAATTTTGTTTATTTGTGTGTGTGAATTGAAACGCGCAACAAATACAAGAAAAGTTTTCAAAATCAA